TAATTCTGTTTGGCTTCACTGCTGAGCCCACGGTAGACCCCCCTCACCTTTGCTGTGAGGAAAGGCTTAGGGGTTTTAGCTTGGTATTCTCATTCCCCACATTTAATTCAGCTGCCACTTCAAGTTGCTCATACCATTCACCCTAGTCTTGTTGCTCCCCTCTTTAGGATGCTGGATTGAATATAGGCTTCAAGACTCTAGATGCGGTGCGTCTGTTTTTCCTCCCACTGAGGCTACCCTTCCTCCATGATACACATCTCCCCTGATCAAATGCCCACACAAACAAAAAACGACATGCTCACTGCAGCAATTCGCCTTGCTCCTTATGGCCTGTGACCCCCAATCCCCATTTGCTGCACTTGTGGGAGAGCCTTCAGAATCCCACTGCTGGCACCAATTTGTGCAAACCCAGCAGCCGCAGAAAGTGGCACAAGAAGCAAGGTGGAGTTCCCACGTTTATGTAGAAAATCATAGGGGTTAGGGTCACAAGCCAGCAGACCAAAGGGAGGGACCAGATAAAAAGGTTTAAGCAACATCAACAGCATGGTAACATTCACTCAACTTAATTCCACCCCCCACCTCTGGAGGTGTCCCCAAACAAGCCTTTAGTCCCCAGAGCACTAAAACATCAGACTGCAGCTGTCCCCAAGTCTGAGTCCAGCTCCTTCAGTCCACAGACCTGGCTGACCGAGCCAGCGAGATCTCCAGCTCCACTTCGTGCTCCTCTGTGTAGGCCTGACCAGATTCCACCCGCACGCTGCTCTCTTCCCCTTACTCCAGCCTCAAGCTTCGTCTCCCTTTTTTCCCTTGGCCCCCAGGCCCTGGGGGTTTCTGGGAGTTGCAGTCCAAATTAACACTCAGCACAGCTCTGCAGACTGCCCCTGGTTCCTCCTGCTGTTACACATATTGCATTCATGTTACACCAAAATCTTCACCATAGTTTCACTCTACATTTGCCCCTTCTACATTTCTCTTCCCTGCTCCTTTCCTTTCTTTCCCCATTTAACTCCTTGCCTTTTAACTCAGCCTCCCTCCCCTCCCTAAGAGACACTGCCTTTAGGTCTAGAAGACCCTTCCTCCCTTACAACAGATCCCCTCTGAGGAATCCCTATGGTGCACTCTCTCCCCAGCAGTTGGAGAGAGATGTTCCCTTTCTCTCCCCAAGCCTCAAAAAGCGTGGTGCAATCACTAGAAATGGGCCTGCTTGTACTTGTCACTTGTACAGGACTGCCTTTACTTCCTCTGAATACATAGTTGGCTCAAGAGTGTGAGGGCACCAAGGTGCCTTGATCAGAGCTTGGTCGACTTCCCAGGCTGTGTGGTGTTTGCTTTCCAGTCACAGCCTGGGATCTGAACTCTTCTCTCTCATGGTTCATGGATGGTTGGTTTTACCACCTCATTGAGCTTTGAAGGCTATGAAGACACATGTGCACCACATGCGTCACCTGCTTTTTCATTCAGTAATGAATATATATTACTTCCTTCTGTAGAGGTCTACCTTCAGTTTAAGAGGCTGGGTTGAGCACCTTGGGGTAGGCCTCCTTTCCCAACAAGATCCCCAACTGGTTCTCCTTTAAACAGGTCATTTTCTCCATAAATCCCAGGGATTAAATTAACTACAGCTGTGGACACCCAACCCTTGCATTGAAGAGCAATTATGTCTGACTTTTGGGGGGGATAATTTTACCCCAAAGGAAATGGCTTCTACAGGTACAGGGCGGCCCCACTGTGTGCCTGCTCCACATTTACAAGGAGATAAGGGCAGATTAAACCAGCATAAATATGCTGTGTCCACACCCTTAGAAATGTTAGTACATCCAGAGATAAATTCACCCCTGAGATATATCTATCTCTTCTTTGGCTCAAAAAACGTTATCATGTTCCATAGCCTGCATCAAACTATTTTCTTTATTTTGAGAACAAATTTCCTCTCTCTGTCATTGTTATTAATAACAGCAGCTTGATAAAGCTTCTTTCATACACAAATTGTAGCTGCCTCTGGGTATTCTGACTCTTGCGTTTTGGGTAATAAATGGCAAGACTGAATGCTCAGAATAAACAAGTGCTTTTTATTGTACTATGTCCACTTAATCTATGCCTTTGTGCAGATATTTCACTTCTTCACTACAACTCTGAAGCCAAGTGGCATGAAATGACAGTTGCTTGCTAAAAAATCTTTCTGATTTCATACACTGGGGACCTACTAATTCTTCGGCACAGGGACCTATTCATTCAGAAGATTAATGGCCAATGTAGAAAGCATTTACTGGCCTTTTTCTTGGAAGAAATGCAGCTCTGACATTTACCCACTGGAAAGAAAGGGATGCGTGTCACAATTGATCTATCGTACCCTGGGGAAGCAGGAATCCTCTTGCCATGCTAAATATCAAGAGGTGTTTGTGATCACAGTGAGGAGCTGGACACGTTGCTACCAAATATCAGTGTTATAATACTTAGCACTTCTCGACTCAGTAGTTTGCACCTTAGGTTCTCAAAGCACCAGCCCAAATCGTGGGAGCTTTATTATCTCCACTTTACAACTGGGAAAAGTGCAGTCTAAGACATTAAGTAACTTTCCAAGGTCACAGTACAAGCTATTAGTTCTCTACATTTTTCCCCCTGAGCCCTGTCCACTTGACTAGATCCACTCCACTCTATTCCGCTCCCTGGCTAGGGACAGACCTTACACACAAACCAGTTTAAATGATCAGAAACTGATTTAAACCTGTTACAGATGTTCCGTGCACATCAACCAGTTTGAAAATGGCTGAAACCGGTTGAATGTGCTATCAGACTTAACTGAGATAAACCTGGTTGAATGTGGTATGAGACTCAACTGATTTGGGTCAAACCAGTGCCTGCAAGGTCTGTCCCAGACCCCGAGGTCCTTGAATAGAAGAGCTCTTGTGTTTTGAAACATGGTTGATCACAGCCTGGAGAGCGTTACTCAAAGCTTCCAGGTGCTTCCTCCTAGTTGAGAATTCAGAAAGTCCAAGATGGAAAAGATCTACTTGGATAGACTCACCATGACTGGGACAGCCTCATCCTGTATATTGTGCACAATAAGGAGGTGTGTGCAGGGGAGAGGACCAAGGCATGTTTTCACCGCGAGTCTAGAAACTAGATCAGAGAAGGCCACTTGAATTTGTCTGTAGGCTCAACAGCGACACAAGCAATGGAAAATAGGGAGGGGATATTGCATCTCTCAGCCACGGTAGACATCCATGCTCCTAGTTGTCCCAGTTTAGGGATATTCCAAGTCTTTGCAAGACAACCGATCGAGGGGAGATTGGCTCATTTTTTATCATTTTAACTTCAGGTGGAGTCATGTAGATCCACTGCCAAATTAAGCCAGGGGTGAACTGAGCCCACAAGGGCATGAAGTCTGACCTCCACAGGTGCAGCTTTGTTCATGGTTTGTCAAGTGCATTTTTACACTGGGAAATATTTCTCCATTCAGAAAAAGGAGCTCTGACTTTCGGAAGAAACTCTTGTTTTACAAAGCTTGTCACTGCAGGTTTCTGGCTCCCACAGTTAGTATAAAGGATTCCTGGCAAACTGGAAAGTAATTATAGGAACCAGGTGCAAATTGTCAGCAAACAGAGTCACTGCAATAATTAGAAGTTTCAAAGGAATATCCTTTAACCTCTGCCATGATTTGTTGAAA